CACCAGATCCATAGAAACAGGGGTTTACCACACTGGACAGGACCCAAGGTGCAGACTGTGCGGAGAGGCCTCAGAGACAGTCCAACACATAGTGGCAGGGGGTAAGGTGCAGGCAGGAAAAGAATATACTGAATGGCACAACCAAGTAGCTGGCATTGTGTATAAGAACATCTGCACAGTGTATGGGCTAGACCCTCCCAAGTCCAGATGGGAGATTCCCCAGAAGATCATGGAAAATAACAGGGTTAAGATCTTGTGGGACTTCCAGATCCAGGCAAGCAGGCAGGCACTGGTCAACCAACCAGACATTATGGTAGTAGACAAAGTCCAGAAGACAGCGGTAATGATAGATATAGCAGTGCCAAGTGACAGCAACATCATGAAGAAGGGGTATGAGAAGCTGGAGAAGTAACAGGGCCTGAAGGAGAAACTAGAGAGGATGTGGAAAGTAAAGGCAAAGTGGTCCCAGTGGTGGTAGGAGCACTCAGGGCTGTGATTCCTAAGCTGGGAGTCGCTCCAATAGATCCCAGGAACAACATCACAGCTCTCTGTCCAGAAGAGTGCAGTGCTAGGAACAGGGAAGATACTGCGCAGAACCCTCAAACACCCAAGCCTTTGGTAGAAGACCCGAGATTGAGGAAGACACTTACCACCCTTAGGGGTGAGAGGGGATTTTTTTTTTTTTAATGAGATACCGCCTCTCCAGAGGTGAATGTAGGAGTGCCTTAACATGCCATCTAAAGATAAGCAGCATTAATGTTTAATTACTCCAAAATGTGAAATGCTTTGAGTTCTTAATCACCTTGTTTTAGTTTAGGGTCAGTTTTCTTTAGTTCTTGCTGAAACCACCACTAAAACTCCCTCAACCATAATGTATATACTACACAGACCTCAAAAGTGCCAAGAGAAAGTAAATTCTTAAGTAATGTTCACATACCTGTTTCAGTGCCCTAAGATTTACAACAAATGTGGAAAGTTGAACTGTTACATAAAAAACTTGGTTCATGCACATGCATAAATAAGAACTTATTTTGAAACCAGCTGAAAAATTCTACATGCTAACTCAAAGTTACAGGCACAAACATAGGAGCAGTATTTTCTGAATTTCAAAGAGTAGGAAGAGAAAGCTGAAAGAGTTGGTTTATACATATTAATTACATATTAATATAATTGTGTGAAGGTCAATTATCATTTCAACTTTTTGGAGTACCTTGACAAAATAAGCCTAACAAATTGTCGGATGAGGATGAGAAAAAATTAATAAAAGACTCCACCTTTTATTAATATACAGTACTGTGCAAAAGTTTTAGGCAGGTGTGAAAAAAATGCTGTAAAGTAAGAATGCTTTCAAAAATATATATTGTAATTGTTAATCAATTTACAAAATACAAAGTGAGTGAACAGAAGAGAAATCTAAATCAAACCAATAGTTGGTGTGACTACTCTTTGGCTTCAAACCAGCATCAATTCTTACACTTGCACACTTTGTACACTTGTGCAAAGTCAGGGATCTTGTAGAATTAGAGTCAGGTGTATGATTAACTGATTAC